ATCTACTGTGGGGTAAGAGAAAGTCTGAGATGAGCTGGTAGGAGACCTGCTACATAACATTAATTAGCAGGCACAGAAGGACCACATGTTGTACCAAAAGGATAAGGATGCATGCAGGGTGGAGAGACACACAGAGACTGCCCAGCGTGAAGAGAGATTGGCAGACATTCATGGAACATGACTGCAGGTTGAGGGAGGAAGACAGAACATGGCAGAAGGAGCTATTCAAGCGATTACTTGCACTCATAGCTACCTGACTGCAGACTTAAGTGCCACCTTCAGCTCCTTCACCTGACCCACAGCCTGAGTCTCCTCTCCATTATTGTGCCCTGCAGAGCATTTCTGGTGCTTACGACATTTAAATACTCATGTAAAATAAAATGTTGAATTTGCACACAAAGCTACAACCACAAGTTTTATTATACGTAATACTAAAAGTGGCACAAACTTTCATGAGTGTCATCCCAAACCCAATCTCAAACTTTCATAACAATTTATGAACGCATCACAGTATTCCATAAACTGTTTGCCAGTATGAATAAAATGCATAACCTATCTCCATACATTTCATCAAAGTGTTTCCAGAATTCATAATGCACAATACCAACTCATTTACAAAAATCTTCCCACTGCTGGCCCACACTCATAGAGAGAGCAGCCTCAACTACCATTTCATTTCCCCTCATGCATGGGACAGTGAAAGCACAGTAAGCATGCACTAGTCATGCCAGGTGCACTGTCTGACAGTGTATACGGTTCAGCAATCCAGCAGTGCCCAGAGTCCATTCCTAGTGAAAAGATTCCCCATTCTCCTCTCAGACATTGGGCAGAGTGCAGTAAGCCACAATACTGTTGATTGCATTATGATACTGGCATCCAGATGCTTTTGAAGGCAGTGCCAATGGGATTTCAGTCTGCTAAAGGCACATTCCATCACCATTCTACAGCTACTGAGTATATATAGTTAATCTTCTTTTGCCAGGTCCTCTGAAAAATAGCGTATGGTTTCCAAAGCCATGTCAACAGCGGGTAGGGTCTCCTAGAATAACAGTGGGTATAGTGACTCCATTTATAACTATGTCATTGAGTGGGAACAATGTCACAACTTCTCCATGAAGGTAAAGTCCAATCTCCGAACACCCTGGCATTGTGCACCCTGCCAGTGCATTCCCGTTAACGTCCATGAATCTGCTCCTATGGTCAACCAGCGCCTGCATAACAATGGAGTATCCTTTGAGATTTATGCACTCATGTACATCTTGAAGTGGGCACATGAGTCTCATCAAGAGTCCTGGTGCAGTCTGGAAAGCCTATTCTCTGAAAACCTGCAATTATTTCAGGAACATTTGTAATGCCCACCATTTTTGGGTGCATCAAGAGTCCTGATCCCCTCACAAACCTCCACCACCACAACCCGCACAGTTGATTTGCCAGCTCCAAACTGGTTAGCCATGGACCTGTAGCAGTCTGAGGTATCCATCTTCCTGCTCATGTGTGCACCCTAGCGCTGAAGGGTTGGGGCAAGCTGCTCATAGACTTCCAAGAACATCTGCTTCTTCACGTGAAAGTTCTGGACCCATGTCTGCAAGACGATGTGATCCCACCTGTCTGTGCTTGTGGCCTGCTCCAGAAACACCGGTCTACACAGGGGAATCTGCAGCTAAGCCAACAGGTATGAGCAGCATCAGCTGGTTTGGAGCTGGCACATCAGTATCCTCCAAGAGATGCCTTGGCAGTTCAAAAACCTATCCCTGAAATGTCCACCAGCATTTCACAGATGCTCCAACTGTGTCCCAAAAATAGGGCTGAGAGCATAAGGCAGAAAAGTCCTTTCACCAGGGTGGATCCATATTGGCTTTGCCTGCAGGAAGCATGTGGACACAAAATGGCTCAGCTAGATGTATTTGTGGGCTACAACCACCCAAAATGCTTCCAGTCAATTGCCTCGGGACAGACAGACAAGTTCTCCCATAACCCACTATGAAAAAAGCCACTGAGCAGCTTCCGCTGGTGAGGGTACACCCCAACAGAAAATAAAGTTCTGACTCAAATCTGACTACTGCAGTATGGACATGCCAGCACAACTGCGAAGGCCAGGTTTCCACTGCAGCGTGGACACTTAAGCACGGACTTGGAAACACAAGTCCACAAGACCAGGTCCCATAGAACTGGGCTTAGTGTGCCGTGTAGACATACCCTCTGTAACCTGACTTCCCCACACAGCAGAACCATAAGGTTCCACTACTTTATGGTCCTTCTGCGTCAGGAGCAGAAATAACTGAATCTGTGTATCTGTAACAGAATACTGGAAACAGCTTTCCTATGAAGTAGGTGTATGCAATTGAGTTAATGAACACTACACCAACAGAACTATTACTGTGTAGATTAAATTATGCTTTTGTTAGCACCATGCATTTTCTGAAGGGAAAGACAGTAACAACAATACAATATTTCTTTCTGTTTCCCTTCTCCTCTCTCCCTCGCTTTCTTTTTTTAAAGTATATATATTTGCTCATTAGGTACCCAGGGTCTAATAAATGGTTTTAATGCCACTCAGCTATCTTCCCACTTGAATGAAAATTATTTTCAGCACCAATATATTTAAAAGAAGATACACAAAAATTGCAGTTGTGAAAAGATAAATGATCTCAGCACTCTAGTTTTGGAGGTAAGAAGAAACCAGATCTGAACATTTCTACTTCGGAACATAAGAAATGCTTATGGCGTCCACCAAATCCAGTATCCTGTCACTGCCAGGGACCAGGTCCAGTTGCTCCAAAAGAATAAATCCTGCCGTAGGCAGATATTGGATAGCCTGCCCACAGGGAAAGTTTCCTCCTAACTCCCAATAGTTAGAGGTGCGTATAACAGATTTGGAGTTACCAGAAATAATTTATGAATATTATTTGTTGACCAGGTAATTGTGATGTCCATTGTATGCATATATTTAGTAACAGGATTACCCAAAATGCACACAGGAAGGAGGGGGAAGGGTGAGTCTTGACAGACACTTATCAACAAACACTTCTGAGACAATACAAGAGCAATTCATCACTTTGATTCTCTGGTGTGACCACCTGCTGGGCTTCCCAGACAGGTTTACCCAGGAATGAAAAGGAGGTGGGCGTGTCAAAGAGAGATTTTTGAGACTGAGAATACAAGGCGAGTTAGATCTATGGGAAGCCCCATCAGGAGGATGCTCTCTTTTCATGCTCTCTGTACGTGTATATGTATATCCTCAATATATGTTCCATTCTATGCATCCGAAGAAGTGGGCTGTAGCTCACGAAAGCTTATGCTCAAATAAATTTGTTAGTCTCTAAGGTGCCACAAGTACTCCTGTTCTTTTTGCGGATACAGACTAACACGGCTACTACTCTGAAACCTATCAGGAGGACGGTTAGACTCCAGGTAGGATAGACATAGCACGTACACCTTCTGTTTTGAAATCTTTTTTCTTATAAATTATTAATTGTTTCTATGGTTACGCAAATAACACTTTTGCTGTAAGAAGTAATCCGGTGGATACAGAGTCCCAAAGATAAGAGCAGCAAATACTGAACCCAGTCAGACTTCCAGGGTAAGAATAGTGGATACACAGGGTACTGCAGCCCAGGATTCAGTCTAAGAGTGAGAGAATCACAGGAGAGGTACAGACATGAGGCCTGAAACCTGTGAGAGTGTACTCAGAGATCAGAGAGGGGGTCACAGGTGGAACTAGTCTGGTAACCATGACAGCAGGTTTATAACCCAAACCTTGAGGGTTTACATTCCTTCCAAAACTCAAACTTGGCTATCATATTTGGAGATTGTTATCCATATAAATGTCTATTCCTTTTTTGACTGCTGCTCAGGTCTCAGCATCCACGATATTATGTGGCAATAAGTTCCACAGTCTAACTGTGGGTTGTGTAAAAAAAATTATCTTTTTATCAGTTTTGAATTTGTCACATTCCAATTGTATTGGCTGTTCCTTTGTTCTTGTGTTATGAAAGAAGTTGAATGAACTACTATTCTGTACCATTCCTTATTTTTTAGTTTTATCATAACAATCTTATTCACCTTTTCTCTTAGATAAACAGTCCCAGTCTTTTCAATCTCATTTCACATTAGAGTTTTTTGGCCTTGGGTCTATTTCTAGTTAATAGTAAATATATTATTTTAAAATGAAAGCTAATGATTAATTTAGTAGACACAGAATGGGTTAACTAATTCAGTGCATGAAAATGAGGAAGGAAAATTAAAAAAAAAAACACCCCACATTTATGTTCCGCTGTAAAGACAAGTTTCACTATTCTGAATGTACCAGTGAAGGTAACAATCAGCATAGGAACAGCAACCAAGTATTCCTTCAACACAAAGGAGAATTTCTTTTTATCATAATCTTTATACAGGTACCTTCAATATCTATGTTCATAGAGATGCATTAAATATAGACTATGCTAATAACTTATACTCTGTGTCTTCTGCTCAGATAAATGTTTTAAAATTGTGCTGAGAAATGAAATACGGTTTGCATTAAGCAAGAAATGTTAAAAACCTGAATGCTATTTGTAACCCACAGCACAGTTATTCCCCTTAGAACATGTTGCTTTTAAGCCCTAACCTTGATATTTAAATTCAACAGGTTTTCTTTTCTTTTTTTTTATGTTCCATGGGAAGATAAGCCGTCTTCTAGCCATTTGGCTGTGATACCAAGCTATTATAGTATATTAACAGAGTCCTATATTAATGTACTATATGCTATTTCTAATATATTAGAAAATAATAATAAAGTAATACAGAAAACACCTTTTTCCTTAAGGTTTACACAGGAAAAAAGACAGGATTAACTTTTGTAGGAAACAGAACACAAATTTGGTCAACAGATGTAGTTAATGCAATGAATATTAAGATATTTCTGAATGTATTATGCATAGGTCAGTAGCATGTCACATTTTAAATATTAAACTTCTCACTTTTTTAAAATTAACTTTCCTCCTCAGCTTCTGTTTTAAACAATGAAGTGGAGTAACATCAACATCACCAATGGGACATCATCTTTCTCTGGACAATGCCACAGAGACACCAGAATTGCACATGTAGTATTCCCAATCCTATACACTGTCATTTTCCTTACTGGAGTTATATTGAACAGTTTGGCTATTCGAGCTTTTTTCCAAATTCAAAGCACCTCAACTTTCATCGTCTACCTCAAAAACACTTTGGTTTCTGATTTCATAATGACTCTTATGCTTCCTCTGAAAATTCTTACTGATTCAGGACTGGGACCATGGCAACTTAAAGCTTTTGTTTGTCGCTTTTCAGCTGTGATATTTTATGAAACCATGTATGTTAGCATAGTACTACTTGGACTTATTGCTTTTGACAGATTTCTCAAGATTGTGCGACCTTTTGGGAAGTTTTGGGTGCAAAATGTCACTGCTGCACAAATTCTTTCAGGTCTTGTTTGGCTTTTCTTCTTTGTCCTCTCCTTGCCAAATATGATTTTATCAAACAACAAAGCAACACCCCTTTCCGTGAAGAAATGTGCTTCTCTGAAGAATCCCTTAGGACTGAAATGGCATGCAGCTGTCAATTACATATGTCAGTTTATCTTCTGGACTGTGCTAATTCTAATGCTTCTATTTTATGCAATTATTACCAAAAAGGTATATAATTCTTATATAAAAACTCAAAAGAAAGATAGCAAAAGCAAACAGAGGATTAATGGGAAAGTATTCATCATTGTAGCTGTCTTTTTCATATGTTTTGCCCCATTTCATTTTTGTAGAGTACCATACACACTAAGTCAAACTGGCAATACAAGTGACTGCAATGTACAGAACCTATTATTCATTGCTAAAGAAAGTACTCTTTGGCTAGCTACTACAAATATTTGCATGGATCCTTTGATATACATAATCTTGTGCAGATCATTTGTAGAAAAAGCATTCTGTGTTAAAATGAAAAAATTTAGAAGTACAATGAGGGAAAATCCAACAGTCCCCTTGGACACCAGAATATCTGTATAGATTCCTAATTTGGTGCAACTTTATAGCTTTCTGTAATTTGCACTAAAATATTTGCAGAGAAGTTAAAGGATACTTTGTGTCAAGATGTTTTATTCTAGAACTGAAACTTAAAGGGTCGTTCTTCTCTGAAATGTGACTTTGTAAAAATGGCATAATGTAATGTTATACTATCAAAAGTACTCTGCTTAACAAATAAAATGCTGTTTCTCTAACTGCCAGACCCAAAAGCTCAGTTTGCAGTCCAAGAACTAATCTGGGTTCTTTCCACCTGATGCTTCTTCATCATGACTAACAAAAGTTCAGCCAGCCAAACATTCTTCAATGACACTTGTGCAACCACAATGTCTTCACGTTGTAACCCAAGTGATAACCGTTCAACTTCACTTCCTTCAGTGGTGTTGCACAGGTGGGTTAGGACATAGTGAAAAATCACGTTGATGGTAATGCTTTAGGTAGAACAGAATCCGGTTCACACTCTCGCACTGCTGTGTTGGCTCCACAGGGCTAACAGGACTAGAAAGCACTAAAAGCTTTTTTGTCACTAAAACAAGTAGATAAAGACAATACACACAGTAACTGGAAATGGTGAATAAGAAGATGGACTAAAAATACTTTGCCTAACTTGGATAACAAGAGGCACATGGCAGAGTATACAAATATTTAAATTCTATCTACTGCATACGAGAAACTAGGTATACTTTAGTATAAAGTTTACTGCCATCTAAAATAAACAGCAGATTTTTGCATATTGAATATGGATGCTCCTATTCAACATTAAGGTTTTGTTGCTCTTAACAAATGGCACTGTTGGTTGTCGCTTACCGTATATGGAATCACATGGCAGGGGAGAGGAAGAAGAATTTTGCTTGATACAGAAAATTATGATGAGGTGTATGAGGCAAGTCATCCCCCGTCCCTCCCCCTTTGCACATCACATCTCTCATTTTCTTGCCTCCTCCATCACCCACTTTTCCCCTCCTCAACAGTGTAGTGATGAGGAAAGGAGAAGACACGTGTGTGTGGGAGGCGGCCCTGGAGCAACAGGAGTCAACTCAGGGGCTGTGAGGCACTGGAATCCTCTTCTCCCATAGGTCCATGCAGAGCCCAGGGTTGCAGTGTCTTAGGAAGACTAGGCTGAGAGCTGTTCAACACCCATGAGTGGGTATGACCGGAAATATGCCTCCTGTACCTTACGGTGAACATCAATCACCTGAATTCAGAAACACTGCGTGGAGAGACTGGAATACATAAGATTGGATAAGCCCTCTCCCCCCCTCCCACCCTGAACTGCCTGCCAGATTCCACTCGCGGAACTGCTGATGCCATACTGGTCCACTGATTCAAATACAAGATGGACTCAAAAGGGACTGAATCCAAGGAGTTGTCATCTCTTTCCAGTCTAATGGCTGGCAACATTTGTTGTTTAAGCCACCAACTGCCTAATGACCATTGAGTTAAAATCTTGAACTAACCAAACAGTATAAAATAAAATTAAAACTTGCCAAGTTTCTGGAGCGTTTTTAATTCCTTCTGAATGGCTATACCCAACCCGTCCTCTGATACCATTTGCCATCCAGGAGAACAAACCAAAAAATCTCCAGAACGCTCAGTTTTGAAGTGAAATTCATATATTTTTTTTTTAATTTCAGGGAGGAAGAATGCAAAACATTTGTTCAGGTCAACTTAAAACAAAATGTCAAAATGGTTTGTTCTGAAAGTATCAAAATGAAAATGTTTTGACATTTCCAAAACAATTTTTTTCCATTTTTTTTTTTTTTTTGGGCTGATACTATTTGTTGAATTCAGGTCAAGTTCAGCAAATAGTGTCAGCACTCCGAAAAATACATTTCTGGCAACCAAAAAAAAATAAAAAATAAAAAATTGCCTGGTTCTAATCATCATGTCTTGGGTTGGTAGGTGACAATTTTGCAGGGTTACCTTGCGAGGACAGAATGCATCAGAATTCAAACCCCTCAGGTGTTTTCCATTTTAATCCCGGTCAGCCCTTGTGGAGGATCTTCGTAGCCCTTTTTTAATGGCTGTACAATATATGGTTATCTATTTTATATTTATGGGTTGTGATGTTGTGAAGCAACCTGGCAGAGGGAGTGGAATGAGCTACTTATTAATAATATTGTTTTTCTTGTTCTCCCCTACATTAGATAACTATAATTAATCCTTTCTTTTTTTCCTTCCATCATTATTGTCCCCTAAAAGCATCAGACACTTTGTATCATTGTTTGGTTGCCTTCCACTTTTCTCCCTGGGTTATTTTCAGAACTTCTGATATCCAAGGTAACCTTTTACAGCCACACTGGCTGCTAGTTGGACTTTTTTTTTTTTTTCCCCAAAGCAGTTCTAGACTGCTGTACCTTAACTACAGCAGCATTTAGGATTCCCCACCACACTGCTGGATTTAAATATTATTTAGTATTTTAATACTTGTTACTTATTCACTAGATATGTTAATTCCACAAAATGCACCTTCCTGAACTATAATAGCTTTGTACAGTTGAGGCCAGTGAACACATTCTTTCAAGTAGTTCTTAGCTTTGAACTTCTCTATTATCAATGTTTTCAATCAGTTCCTTCCTCTCAGTAAAAATTGCTGTTGAGCGTTCAATTGTTTCTCCAATCCTTAGCAGAATTATTTTGATTGCTTTGGCAAAAATGAACATATGACCATAGTTATTTATTTCAGAAGTGCCTGGAAGTTAAAACACTGTTCACTGTTCACATATTTAAAGAAAGGTGGTAGGAAAGAGGCACATGATGGAATACGCATTATTGATTCCACTCACACATCACCATTACCGTTATGGCTAATGCTAAATTTAAAAAAATGAATAAGCAATTCATAGTAAATTACAGTTAGGCCCAAACCACAACATTGTATCGAAAAACCTACTCCCTCCACCCCCAATTCCTGTATTTTGGGGAACTTTGGATCTGATTCAGAACCAAACTTTGCAACTCAGACATCTCATTGTAATGGGCTGGACCAGAACTCTGAATGCAAACAATTCCGTGACTTTCAGGAAGTTCAGATATGGATCCATTGCTCAGTCTAAACTGTAATTCAAACTTTTCTTTAGTGTAAGCAGATAATGGGAGAGAGTCATATCATTCATTGCACAATATCTCTGTGATAAAGCTTGATGCAAATTTCTAACAGAAGTTGAAGGAGAAGAAAACTTTTGATTTTGTCTTTTATCATCTGCTGTTTATGAAACACTGCAGTTATTTAAAAGCATGTGTAAACATATGCTGGAAACATATACTGCACAGCACAAGTAGCAAGAAGATTGCAACTAATGGTGGGTGTAACCACAATATAAACTGAGTTGTTCCTGAAAACAGGGGTGTGCCAAAGGTTTTTACAGAAGTCTGAATCAGCTTTTTTAGTTGCCTTCATCTTAAGACACTGACTGAGAGGCAGGAATACGAACATTTATAGTGTAGAAGAGCAGACTTGTTGCAAAAATAAGAAACATCCAATTTTTGCTCACTTTAGAAAGAAGCATCTGTTAGGTTTTGAAATGTTTGCAGATTCTCCAGGGGTTTTTTTTTTCCACGTGTTTTTGCAATTCTGGTTTCTATCTGGAGAACAGGAAACAAACTGTCAAAATACCATGAGAAAAGCTGGCCTTACAGCATGTTGGAAATATTATAAAAAAGCATGTTCTCCTGAGATTTTCAGCCCAATTTTACAACTCAAGAAGTACAGATAGGCTAATCAAAAAAGTTTTCTGGTCTAACATTAGTTTATAATGGAAATCTAATGCCCCATAGGTTAAAAGAAAATTCAAACCCATAGCTTCTTTACCGGAAGTCACATAACCTTGTCTCAACCAACTTGGCATGCATTGATAAACCAAAGAGGTAACACTGCATTTATTAAAATAAGGAATGGACAAACTATCTGAGATAAATTTCCCCCTAAACCAAAGTTTCCTGAAACTCACTAACTCTCTCCTCCTCACACACACAGAAAGTACAATTTTTTTTTTAAAGAAAGCTTTTCCATTTTCACAGCTTGCCTCCATCCTTTCTGCTTCTGTCTGAAGCTGCAAGCAGAAATGCTTCGATACCACAAGAGAAGACACTCATGAGACACGTCGGACTTTACCACAGCCAGGAAGTACTAGAAACCTCATCACAAAGCCTGTTCTTTTTCAGCTCTCTTTTGCACAATGAATGGATTTATATAGTTCAGATAAAACATAAACAAACATTTCACACTTCTGGTGGCTTTTCCAAACCTGACCCTTTTCACAAATGTGATTTAACAGGGCTGACTGGAGCATCTCAGACACCAGAACTGATATTAGAGAAACACCCTGTTTTTTCTTGATACAGCAACCACCCAGGAAGAAAAAAACAACATGTATAAGGTTTTCACTCTAGGTTCCTTTGTTTTGATGCATCACTACTGAAGAAGGGCTTTTCCTTTAATTTGGGCATCAAATTTCTCTCTCTTATGTGCTACCACTATGGTGAGGAAAGGAATAAACACACTACGTAGTGACCAGCTGACCAATTTAAATCTCATTCTTGTCTGAACTGGAACATTTTTTTTCTGGTTTGAATTGGTTCTGAGAAATAAACTTGACTCCAGGCCCCTAGTCTCTCACCACTCTCTCCCTCTTCACTTTTACAATACAGCAAGTGGACCCTGAGCACTATTCCTTTATGTAGGACTTGCAGTCTGGGCTTCCTGTGTCATTTCCCCATGACAGCCACTTGAGTTTATTTTGCCCATTTTCAATCTATTCATTCACAAGTCATTTTGTTTTCCAACAGAAGCATTTTTTAGAGGGCAATGCAGCTGGATTCTGCAGGAAAACCGCATGCTAAATACAGTCTTATTTGAATAAGCCCTAATACAGTCCTTGTCTCTGTTCTCAGTGCCTTGTTTTTAAAAAAAAGAAAGAATATGAGAGCTGGTCTTTGCATGGTATTTCCACTTTTCAGATCACCAGATCTCACATTTTTTCAGC